CAGGGAAGGCAACAAGGAGGCATTTGAGGAGAGATCTAGAAGATGAGCTGGGAGCAGGGGAAGCCGCCAGGATAGGAGGAAGAACGAGCGCCCAGGCTGGAGTGCCTGGCATGTCAAAGGATCTAAATGTCAGCAGACTGATCCAGATATGGGCCCATTTCTCACCCAGACAGTTTTATTGACTGTTGAATCCGTTAGTCTCATTTTTCAATATCATCCTGAGAGCTATGATTTATTAACCACCTACTATGTGCCTGGTTCTGCTAAACACTTTACATGTATTACTTTTACTTCCCAAACAACTGTGCGAGTTAGGTCTCCCTTTTACAGATGGGGAAACTAAGATTGCACATTTACTCTCAATAACTTTCATCTAGTCTCCTCCAATGGGAAGATGTTCAGTTCACGGCTGATTGTTAGTTACATCCTTGAGGTGTGTTGGGGTAAGTGCACACACGTCTACAGAAATCTGAAGACTCCCACGATAAAATCACACCTAACACTGGGTGACCAGCCCTAGACTATTCATTTATTTTAAAGCTGTAGATAAAAAGTGCTTTAGACACATTAGAAGAATAGTGTCTTTGTTTGAAACCATGCTTTGAGCTGTTGCTCTTTAAGCTAGCAGAATTTAGAATGAGGATAATGCCCTTTCGTTTGTTAATCTCTCTCATTTTTAGCCTAGACACTTCAACAAGCAAGCAAAAAACTCTTACTCTAGAACCTTAGAAGTGTGTATGTTCTGAGTTGACATAAACATAAATTTCCAGGAAAATAATAATACGGAAAACTGAAGAAAACTCAGAAGTCTATACACAGTGTGGGATGTGGTTAGAGAAAGTGTGTTAGGTGAAAGCTCTTGGGATTTACTGAGTCTACACCCAAATGCCTCCATGGTCCTTTCAAACAAGCCTTCTTTGTCAGCATTATTAGGAGTTTCCATTCTTCCAGCCTGCTGGGCCTCATGGGAATCTTGCTCTCTGCAACCTTCAGTGTGTCCCCTGCACAAGGGTGGAATTGTGACTAACAGTCCCCAATTCTCAGTGAGTAAAATGTCTTTACAGAAACTTCCATTTTGGGTCCCTTTAAGAGGAAAGGGCATACTTCAGCTAAGAGAATTATTATGTATCTCCCAGACCCAGCCCCTACTTCCTGCCTTCTGACAGCTGAAGGTCTTAAGGTTCTGTCTTTAGCACAGTTCCTTCAAAATTAAATGAGACATGAAGTCATGTTACAGAAGCAGGTTCCCTGTACTGCCCAGTTGGGCTGGTGTACAGATGCAACCCTCTATGATACTGAAACAGGACCTCTCCAATAACAACTCTCTCAGAGTCCCTTTGTTTCTTTTAACTATTTGTTTGTATATACTTATTCTTAAATCGATACATAATTGTTATACATATTTATGGGGTACATGTGATATTTTGAGACATGCCTACAATGTGTAACAGTCAAATCTAGGTGATCGCCATATCCACCACCTCAAACATTTATCATTTCTTTGTGCTGGGAACATTTCAGATCTTCTCTTCTAGTTATTTGGGGATAGACAATAAATTACCGTTAACTCTAGTCACCCTACTGTGCTACCACGCACAGTATTTATTCCTCCTATCTCACTGTATGTATGTACCCATTAAAGAACCTCTTTCTATACCTTACCTTCCTCCCTCCACCACCCTTCCCAGCCTCTGGCAACTACCTCTCAGGCCCGCTTTATGAGCACAGCACTGGAGGACCACATGGTGTATGACCATCTCTTACTTTGAATGTGTTTTCATTTCAAAGATTTTTTTGTTTGCTTCTCAGAGATGCTGACAGGTGGTAATAACAAGAGTGAAACTGAACTGAATTTGAATTTAGTTGTCAAGTCACTACCGCCATGACAAAAAAGTTGAGCACCCGCCCTGTAGTCTTGAGTTTCTCTGAGATTTCCCCATGATTTACAGGGCTCCACCCTTACCCTGCAGTATTTGAAATAATATCTGCAAAGCAATGAGTGCAGTTTTCTTTCTCCTTTTCATAGTAATTATAATAATTTCATAGCAGCAAGTGCTTGGGAAATGAAAGTTGCAGCATCCTGAGTTTACAAAGAGGGTTTACGTCGATTCATCCTTCAGACAGTGGGGTGGCCAAGCCTTTCTTGTGGTCTGAAATTTCCTTCTGCTGCATACCCCTGTGACTCATTTACAGATTTGGAGACACCACTTTATCAAAATGAGTACGCTAGTTCCCATGTATGTATGTGTGCATGTGTATGCCCACACGTGTGTGTGTGTGTGTGTGTGTGTGTGTGTGTGTGTGTGTGTGGGGGGCTGTCTGTCATTGCTTTCAAATTCTTCCTTTATGGATGAGGTACCCTCTAAACCCTACACTGGCTGACTGAGACTTTGCTTTGATTTGTGGCCCCATTTAGTCATAGGAAGTCAAGGGACTGTGGTTGCTGCCGTAGAAGCTTTATTCATGTACACGAGGCTCTGGCCTGTCTGCGATGCAAGGCTGAGGTGGGAGGAAGGGTTGCCTACACCTGTCAGATGACAGCTTATTGCCCCCATCCTCACCCACCTGACAACAACAGGAAGGAAATCTCCATTCCCTTGTCAGGGGACCAAACAAACACAAGGTTTATAATAACAACAGTTATAATAATAGTATCAGTAGTGATCATAATAATAGCAGTGTTTAACATTACTGACTGCTTGTGAGTCACTGTATTTCTTCCATTTAATCCTAATGACAACTCTACGGGACAGAGATCATGATTATCCCCAGGAAACCAAAGCCCAGTCATCTGTCCAGTGTCAGGCAACAGTAGATCTCTACATATCTACATTGCAAATGTCCTCTTTCCCTTCCTAATAAGACCTCCATGAAAACTCTGTGAGCCCTGCCTTTCCTCTCCAGCTGAACAGCCAGCATCCATGTGCAAGCCTACTCTCTGGGCCTTGTGAGGTGAGGACACATGGAGGGCAGCATCTGGCATTTATAGCATTGTGTTAATATATATTGTGTGTCCCGTTTTCCACATTGGAGAATAAATTGCCCATGTTCAGGGACCTCGAAGTTCTTTCTGGCTCCCCAACATGGGACCCTGAGTGGCTGGCATCTTCTTGGGCACTGTCACCAAGGAGGCTATCGATGGGAGGACTGCTAAGTATACTCTTCAGGTAGATGTGGTTCCCTAGTTTCTCTGCCCAGGTGAGGTATCACGCTGCAAGTAAAACAAACCTGGAGATGACACTGGACCCACACAGCCTGAAAGCAGCAGGGGTGCAAGTTAGCAGTCTGATGGTGGAGGAAACCAAACGTGCTAAGCAATGAATCACATCCTGAGAGAACCAGCAGTCTGGGTTCAGTGGGTATGGGAGGAGGTGACAATCCTGAAGGCTTCATTGTGTGGCAGTTCATTTTTATTGGTCAGACACACACATCCTGTATAAAAGTATATGGCAGGCACTATCTGATCACTTGATTACTATTAACTCAATCGTTGACAACCCTGTGAAGTAGGTATTGTTGTTATCTTCATTTTACAGATGAAGAAACTGAGATGTAGAAAGATAACTTGATCAAGCTCCCAGAGCTAGTAAGTCACACAGCCAGGATTAGCACCCAGCCATCTGGCATGGTTTTTCATTATCATGACACTTAAGTATTAGGAAAATGCCAAATATTTCCAATATATGGATAATGTGACAGACATGTAATATATTTGAGAAATAGTCATATGCAAAATTATTACCATCGTTACAAAGTGGTACTTTAAGGAATAAGTTATTTTTTAAATTCTGTTTTTTTAAAAAAATATATATATATATATCCCCTCCCCCCCAAAAAAATTAGAACATGTAGTGTGTATTTAAAAGTAAAAAGTTTTAGTATGCAAATAATAACATCTGACTTTTTACCAAGCCTGTATCTATGGCATTGTGAGGAAGGCAGGGCGGGCATCTTTGTCTTGTGCCATCTGTGAGGAATTACAAACGAAGAAAGCCATGTGTTTTGACAAGACAACCCAGCATGATCAGATGTGGAGTCTTAAAGCCCAGTCCCAACTGTGTCTTCATCAAACTTATAACCTAGTGAAGAGAGGATAAAATATGTTTAAAAGTAATCACTGGGGCAACCCCTTTGGGTCCCCTCCCACTTGCCTGAGCCCGCGGGTTCGAGACCCACCTGGGCAACTTGGTGAGACCTCATCTCTACAATAAATCAAAAAAATTAGCCGGGTGTGGTAGCGCGTGCCTGTAGTTCCAGCTACTTGGAAGGCTGAGGTGGAAGGATCGCCAGAGCCCTGCAGGTCGAGGCTGCGGTGGCCGGGAGTATGCCACTGCACTTCAGTCTGGGCGACAGAGTGAGACTCCAACTCAAATAAATAAATAAATAAATAAAGTAATCATTGTATACAGTCCTTAATCCTCCAGATAACCTGTTTTGTTAACAAATGAATCAAAAGCATCTCTGCCTCTGTCATGCCTCACACTCATACCAAGCATAGACATAGTAGACATCTTTAAAGAATTCTTATGCTTGTTTAATCCATTTTAAAATCAATTAAACTCAGACATTCTTGGATTGTACAATCTCCCTCTGTAAAATGTTAACTTCCAGGCAAGCGAATATAACTATAGGATGAACTACTGAAAATGACTCGTTCATTCTTCCTGATGAGAAATTGGTCTTCTGAATCGATTGTTCATCTGGTACTTGCTTAGTGAAAAGCTGGTTCTTGTATATGCCCATTATAGTATAAATCCTTACCCACATAAAGTAAGGACTTATTTGGGGCTTGATACAACTCTTCATGCCTTGTATATATAGCTTACAAATCAGCCGGCATGTATGTATTACGTATCTACAGTGTGCCCGAAGTTACTGATAAAGTCTGGATTCTGTTGCAAGTAGACATATATTCCGAGAAAATCTATTACAAGTAACTGTTTCAGACTCTGCTTTGAATTTTTCATTCATTCACATGTTCTTTTTCCTTTTCCTCTAAGGGTCGGGATTACTGTTCGGAAGAAGAGGATATCACATAGCACCAATTCTACCACTCACACCAGGAGCTACTGCTGTGTAAATAGGTTCCACCCCAGTTGAAATCTTTGCAAGGGTCGATTCTATTCAACGAACAGCACTATAGCAAAAGAAGATCGTTCCATATCGTACGCCCCATAAAATTACAGTGTTTCTTAATGAACTTGCAAAGGAATATCGCTAAAAACAAACAAACAAACAAAAAAACTGTTATCGAACTTTCTTTGTTGCTGCTAGTTAAAACTTGTTGCAACTTTTCACTTCTCTTGTGTCCAGGTATGCAGCAAAATTCTGCAATTTCACCTTAAAGATACTGTTGGTTTTCCAGATGCTCTCCAACCGATTTTCTATAAGATGAGGTAGTGGTGAACTCAGATATCAAATTTCTCTTCTAGACCAGTTCTGCTTCTAAGATAAGCATCTCCTGCCCTCTCTCCTTCCTCCCCGTCTCTCCCAAGTGGTCCAGAGACGGACTGAGCCTTGCTTCTTGCTGGCAGTGTTGAGCTTTGGAGATGGGATGGTTGCTTTGGCAAGACTTGTTTCTCTGCTCAGAAGAAGCAGAGAAGCTATTAGCAGTTAAAAGCATGTTGTGACACGACTCCTGGAAGTGACGTAGGAGCGAGTGGCAGGTTGTTTCATTTCATAGGTATCTTAATCAACATTGGCTTTGCTCAGACGCAGATGGGAAGTGTGATCACAATCATTTTGAATCCCTCTTCCTCACTTTTTTTTCTAAGAAAATAAACATTTTACTGTTTTTATGTATCCTTGTCTTCTCCCATTCATCCAGCTCAGTGTTTTAAGATGGTCTTGGGTGCGGAAGTTGTGCCCTCCTTCACAGTGATGCTGATCATTGGCCTAAAGAGCTCCCTACCCTTTCTTGAATGATCTACCAATCATTAGCAAGGCTGTACGTGGTAAGAAGAGAAAAGGGGACATCCCGCGACTTTTCCAGAGGGTCTGAAACCACCCTGTTCCCTCTCATTTTGTTAGCAAACAAACTCTTTTATTTGGTAACTCTGCCCCCTCCAGAATGTTCCACAAGCCTTGCCACTTCTTTTCCTCTGACTTCCAGCACTGAATCCACCAAAAGCATTTGCCTACTCGAAAGCATAGTCCATGTACGCTGGTGATATTTGGAGACACGAAAGCCAAAAGCCCCAGCCAGGCAGTGGTGGGGAATGTTGACTGAGTAATCAGTAGAGTTTATTTTTCCATACTATATGAAGAGGATGATCTCCTCTCAAAGACAGAAGTAATATTTTTAACAAATATTATCACAAGTAAATAGCAATCAAAAGGAGAAAATAACTTTTGTATTTTTTTAATGTATTTGATAGCTTTGATGAGGGTTCTCTGTTACTTTTGGGGGAGGGCACCCTAAAAAAATGCCATGCCGGCAGTCCAGGTTGGGTTTGTCCCACAAAAACGCAGGAGCATTGTATCTTTCTCTCTTGTTGGGGTTGTGAATTGGAAGGGCCTTAGTATTAGCCACACTGCCACCCTCAGAAGGTGGGTAGTTAAGATGTTTCATGCAAATTTGTTCTTGCTGAGAAGATGGACCTTGACTTTAACATCTATCCCCATCACTGATAGCAACATTGATGGGCTGATGGTGAGAGTCCTTATCTCCTTTTAGACCTGGGGCAGCAAAACCAAGGGGAAGGAAGCTTAGTCAAGTGCTATGGAAAATTGACTCAAATATTAGTAACAAAATCCCTTAATTCTTTCAGCCAACAGCAGCTATTTTGGGGAGCAGCTGTGGTTGTTACATAAATAGAGATGTGGCCAAAATTTTAGGCTTTTTATCCTGCTTCAGGCAGAAAAATGCAGGGAGAGTCAAGTAGTCTAGGGTTTTAGGTTCCCTCCCTTTGTTTGGTGTTTGGCCAAGTGACTAAAATAGTTTTCCACAACTGTAAACGAACCGCTAAGCTCCACCTCAAACTCATTCACTGAGGACTTTGTTCACTGTTATGTGGGTGACCTTTTCTGGGATTTCTTGTTCTTAGCAAGCAAGAAGGAAGCAAATGCCACATGTCTTCCATTTGATTCTTCTACTTGGTGTCTCAGACAGTGTCTTCCCAGAAAATCACCACCCTCGACCCTGAAGATGAAATATGTTCATATCATTATTCTCACAGTCACATTTAACATGTTGACGCACTACACACGTGCATAGAACCAAGTGTTTCTTGGGAACCTGACTTCAGAGTGTTTGATAAAACCGGAAGTGTTGTTCCCATGAACCAGCAGGTTTTCATCTGGAGTTCTGTCTCCCATGTTGAATACCGGATACAACTTTGATGTGCAAAAGTGATTTCATCTTCAGACACAGTTGGTACATCTAGAAATAGATCGGAGAAATGGGGTGATTGAGTGGGTTGGCGTGAAATGCTTGATTATGTTAGCAACGCCTAACACTGTCTGTTTTCCATTTGTTGGTTTTAATCATAAAATTGTCAAGTGATTTGTGTTTGTTCTTTTTTTTTTATACCTTCCTAAAGGACCTAAAGCAAAAATATTTTGCCTTTCCTCCCCTCCTTCTGTGTATCTAAACATTAAGCAGATTGTCTCAGGTGCAATGTAAAGAAGAATCCGAAGTACATTTGGGTGCATTCTACAGAGTTGTCATCTCTGCAGGGTCTGGGGAGATGGGAGGCAAAAGGGAGGGAAGTGCCCTGGAGGTAGAGGTAGAAAAATGATGAGAAATGCACCAAATGCATTCAGCAGACAGGGTTGATGGGCTGTTTTGTGTGCAGGGTGCAGTCGGAAATCCAGCTGCCTAGTGGCCAGTGGGTGGGGCAGGACTGTCAAGGGGATTTACAGCTGGATTACACACGTCTTATGTACTCTGAGTTGTAGAGTTGTAAAAGTTCAGCAGTGTGTGCGCAGCTTTCTTTTGGTTGGCGGAGATTCAGGATCATAGAGTACTGCTTCATAATTGAATACGTGTTTGTTACTGGCAGAGAACCTTTTTAAAAGAGGCTTTTACCTCAGCGATGCTTTCTGGCCCCAGGCTTGAGCAGTGAGCACAGGGTGGTGTTATGGTCTATTTAGGGACAAAGAACGTACAAAGTCCAGCAATGAGAAAACTAGGTCAGCCCTCAGAAACAGCAGCAGCTACACACACAGCTGCCTGGTGGGAGACGGGTCTCTCCCTGTCTGCAGGGCCCATGATCTGAACCTGGGCTCTGATGATTTAAATTAAAAGTGACCTGACCCAGGAGAATTGCCTCTTTGGTCCTCTGCACTGGCACCATCCTCCTGCTCACCGAAAGGCAAGGCGGCACCTCTGTGTCAAAGGTTCACCCAGGCTTTTGGAAACTGCCACACCAGCAACCTGACAGGCCCCAGGAGCAGGCCTGGGGGTGATGAAGCCTTTTTCTTTGGTCCCATTTCATGTCATCTTTCTTTGACTTATAACTCTGTCCTCCTTCCAACTCATCCCGTTTTTTTGTTTTTTGTTTTTTGGGTTTTTTTTCCTCTTAGGGCCAGACTCTCCCATAAGCCTGTTAAAAACAGAGACCATACCTCTTATGAATTTTACCTCAATAGCCTGTGATGCAGATTGGCAAATCAATTACAAGTCCTGCTTAGACATTGGGCAAGAATTTCGAAGAGTGTTCCTTCTCTACTAGGCTTAAAAAAGAAACTTGGTTAAACATGTTAGTTTTTGTAGGAAGAAAAAATTCAAATTCTTAATCCAGGAAAGCACTGACTTGCAATCTTGGACTTCAAGACTCATATGTTCTTTATGAAAAACAAAGCTACTGGTATCTAAGGTTCTCTTCCTCTTCCCCCCACATCCCTTGAAAAAAGATATTGATGCATGCTATAATTTTACAAAAATCTACCTTCTATGATCTTACCTCTGGAAGGCATTCTCAGACCTTTAATTCTGTGTACCTCTCAGAAATTTATCTTTTAGTTAAGTTGTTTCAAACTTCAGCCAAAAAATAAGGCATGGTCAAGGAGAGAATGTGTATTTACAGGCTCAATGGAAAGAGGGCTCAGAGTAGGAACTTTGACTCCACGATGTCACGGGTGGATGCCTGAACCCTGTGACCCTGGGAAGACCTGGGTGGGGCAGTTGGCTTCCCACTGCACATGTACCTGCAATAAGCCTTTTGGGATTTCATGAATGAGGCCTATGAACTGCCTTTTACCAATAAATGGATGTGTTTTTCCAAAGGGGGGGGTGGGAAACGTCCTTGATTTCAGTAGTCACCTTTCTGTGTGTCTCTGGAAAAGGGTCAAAAAGCTGTGGCACAGAATGAGAATTGTGGGTGAATATATTTACCTTTGTGACAAACATTAGGGCTCACCGGCTATACCATGTTTTTCAGGAGACTCTTATAACTTTGTCTGAGATCTAATCTCACCTAGGGAAAGAGGAAAAAGGAACCAATATGTGTTATTTATACTCAGTCTGTGCCAGATACTGTGCTAGGCATTTTATAATTGTTTTGTGTAATCCTCACACTAATCCTGTGAAGTGGCTCTATTACCCCTATGTTCTAAGTAATATACCTTCAATGTGGAATGCATCTATCCAACATAAATGCCCATGCTGAAAGAAGGAAAGATGTCATTCAAGTATTTTCCAAAAATTTTTATTATGACTATGCCCTTTGCAACACTGTGAAAACAAACCTTTTGGGGCATCTACCTTCCAGAATCTCACTAGGGCTCATCACCAGCTTGGTTTCCTCATGGGGAATGTCTTACTTGGCCTTCCCTATCTGAGCTGCACACACACCAAGAGAGGCCACCGCCTAGCGGGAGGACTTCAGTGCCCAGAAGGAAAAGGCTTTGGGAATTCAGCCACATGTTTCTCCTCTGGGCATCCTTTCAGCATCTGGAAAAGAACCTGGTATTTCTGCAGTTAAATACCAGATGCAACCAGAACAGGCTTTTGAGTGCTGTAATTTCCTTCCTGGGTTCCCAAGGCCTGTTGTTCCATCACAGGCTACATCATTTTAAGGTCAAAAGCCTTACCTTCAGACAGGTGTGGGAGAACCTGATCTCTAACTATGCTTCAACCATTGACTTGTATTGAAATCCTTGTTGTAGGCTAGAACTTGATGTCTCTTTCTTTTATCTTTGGATATAGGATCTGTGTCTTCCAAGCTAGTTTAAGCACTAAAACTCAATGTGAATCTCTTTCAAGACCTTAAATATTTTAGGTAGTCACGTAATGACTTGGATAGTTATTTAAATAATATGTTCCAAGGTCAGAAGAGCCCAAGAACTCCCCAGAGTTCCTCCCCTTGCTTCTTAAGGCACATCTTCTAAAGAAGATGACTCATGTCTCCATAGCAACTGTCAAAGGTGCTGCCAAGAGGGAACCTGCCCCCACCCTAACTTACTCAGCCTGAAAGATTCAAAAGCATGTCTGTGTGTAAAGGGGATGGCGTGTCCAGTTTGCCTTTGCAATCTGCCCCTAAGATCCTGCTTCTTTCTAACCTGGCAGCTGTAATATTCCTTCAAGATGATTGAGAAATGACTCTTTTCTCTTGGAAGCCAGAGAAATCGCATTATTTCAGGAAGACTCGACTCTAAACTGAAGGCCCCATCTGATAGTGTCTGTCCTCTCAACCCTGAATTCTCCCTCCCTTCCTTCCCAGGGATTATTTTTAGCCAGGGGCTTTGAACTTGATTGAGCAAGGCTTAGAGGCAGTAAAAAGAATACCATAAACTCAGCCAGAGGTGCCTTAGGGTCCCTAGGGCTGAAAATAACTCTCGAACCTCAGGGGGACACCTGGCATTGACCCAGAAGTGACAGCATAGGCACTGGTTTCTTGGCATTTCAGTCCAGCCCTTCATGAACTGTTCTATCTTGACAGGCAAGTGAGCAAGGGGAGTTTTGCAATAGACTTTAAAGCAGCAAGATGCAAATTCATAAAAATTCTTATCTCTTTTCCTGGAGCAGAGCCAGCAGCTGCCTTATTAGGACATTAAATTTGGATCCATTTTCTTAACACACACAGGCAAAGATACATGGATAAAGAAAACATCCTTTATCATTGAAATCATCTTCAGGAGAGAGCTGTATTTGGCCTTTCGGTAATCTCTAAGATAATGTCTCGGAAACTATTAGTATAACTCTAGGAATACCAACACAGGAAAAACTAGCAATCACCCTTGCAAGACTTTCAGTTAGACTCAAGTGAGAGGATGGAGTCCTGCTGGTGGTCTCATCTTGTGCCCCTCAGTACAAGGATACCCTGCTACATCTGTTTGGCTCGCCCGGACCGTTAGCCTGGGTATTGCGGCTGGCATTCCTTCTCAGCCTCAAGCGCATTAAGGACACATCCCTAAGGATGTGCGCCTGGTCCAGCCACACAAGCCACAGATTTCTCACACGCTATCCCCTCATTCATGTGGCCTCGACTGCGGCCTTCAGCAGCCCCACTGGGATGCTCCGACCCCAGTGTGTGGATCTGGGGTCCCTGCATCTAGGTGGTCCCAGGGGTAGCATTTTTAGCATTGCCTTTCCAGCCTTGAGGACTCATTCATTACTGAGCCCTAGGTATCCTCCAGGCACAGTGCCGAAGCCACCAATGCACAGTGGAACCAAATACATCTCCCACCCTCGAGGGACACAGACGTTCCCTAGAAGGGAGAAGCACTGGGTGCTCTGGGAGCAGCTCATGATTTAGGAATCAGGGGCTTCCTGAAAGAGGCGACATCAGAGCCCAAGTCTGTCAGGCAACTGAGGAAAGCCCTGCAAAGTGCAGGGCCTTCCAGGCTGAGAAGAAGCACGGGACTCAGCCCAGAGGAGGGCCAGTGCAGGCCCATCCAGGGCCTGCAGTAAGACCAGGGCAGTGAGCTGCCAGCCGCAGAGGGCTCCCGAGTCGTGGCTGGGGATTTGGGAGCATAAATAAGCACCAGGGGTGGTGTTCTACCTCCCACAGCCCACTGCTTAGGTTCCCCAGAAAGGGAGGTGTCATCACGACCGGGACCAGGTTTTCCTTCTCACTGTGGAAATGTGCAGTTCCTTGCTGAGATGATTTTTCCCAGCGGATCTTCCATTCTTGCCTCTGCCCTGAATCCTCTTCCTCTGCCAAAAGCTATTTGAATTCAAGAGCTTTAACGTGGGCTAGATCTGGCTTGGAGACATACAGGGGACAGCTCTAGGTCATCCTGACCTGTCTTGTAAAGCCACCAACGCTAAAAATGTCTCTTGGAATCAGGCTGGCCTAGACCCAGAGGTGAGAGAGCAGCCTAAAATAAATGTATGGGAAGCAGCAGAGGGCTTCCCTGTTTCGTGAGTGACCTTAACAAAAGGCAGCTCTCTTGGACGGCCTTTCCCGGGATGAGGTCACATACACCTGGTGACTAGGCCTTTGCCGTGGCCCAAGTGCACACCTGAGCCCTGCCAAAGAAAGGGGCTATTTTAAGACTTTTTAAAAAGCAAAGATGAATTTTATGCAAGAAGAAAATACCAACAAGCCTAGACAGCTG